TATGAAACTTATTTACCTCATAAAATTATGGTATAAAAAACTCTCATGCTTGTTTTTAAAATATTGTGATTATTAAGTACATATCATAAATTTAAATGAAGCAAAAGATGTAGATGTGTTTGAACAAGGCTTTAAGCAAAGAGTACAAAAGATATGAAATTGTATTTTATACCATGAACTCATGCTTTAAGATACATTCAATGTGAATAAAACAAAACAAAATTTTCAACTAATTGTAGCTACTTGTAGAAATGCACGTGATGAAAGTTCAAGCAATGTTTGAAATTTCTTGAACTTGATGGTAATAATATTTAATTATTTTTTTTAATTTTGATTTTGATTTTTCACAAAAAGAAAATAGTAATTTCACATTATTCAAAATTATCTGAAATTATGAAAATATAAAAAGGTAATTCATTGAATGCGTATCATGTGGCACTAGAAAAACAGTTAGAATGATATCATAATTATACAATTGATTCAAAATACAAAAAAGATTTGAAAATTTGTGTTCAAAATTAAATAGCTTGTTAATTAAACAAGATGAGTAATAAAGAACAAATATTTTTTTTACATCGTCATTGTACATGATAATTGCATATAAGTTAAATGATAACTTTGTAAAACATGTTTCATTTATGATTTTTCTAAACAAACTAGGTTTCATGATCCATCTAAAACTTATATAGAATTTTTTCATTTTCATAAATTTTTTGTCTATACTTACATGTTATTCATGGATTAAAGAGTTTCTAGACATTCATTTACTTTTTTCTTTTTTTTTGAAAATAATTGTTTAGTTTTTGAAACAAAACTAGCAATGTCAAGTGGTTATCATATTGGGACTTCTAGTGAAACAAGAATAATCAATATATTCATGTTAAAAAAAGCAACAAAGTCTGGATTTATACTTCAACTTTTTTGAAATTCGCATTTATAATGTTTCATGCACTGACATAGGTGTTTTCATTATTTATCATGTACTAAATTCATCTATCAAATGATTAAATTCAAGGAGTCTATAAACAATAATTTTTCTTTATTAAATTTAAAATAATTATTTTTTAAATAAAATATACACAAAATATAATAATAATAATAATAATAATTGCGTTTAATTTTTAAAATAATATGCATATGCTTTTAATAAAGATTTGGATTTCAAGGAGTAAATTACATACGATTATGTAAAAAAAAATTAGTTCTAACAAAGTAATTAAAAATTAATGCTCATTTCATAGATTATGTTTTAACATTAAAATGTGATTTCAAAAAGTTGATTTTTTATTGTATTTCAATATTTTTTTAAAATAATTACAAATATAAAAAAAATTCAAACCAAAAACAGTATTGAGATTATCTTCTCTAAGTGTTTGATTTCAGCCCAAATTTGTCTAGGAATTAAATTTAGTATTTAAATTTTGTAGTAAAACATTACTTTATCAATAGATATTCAACATCTTTTCAAATTTTGACTTTCGCAAATAAAAAACTAGAGCACTTTATGTTTATAGCTCATAACTATAAGGTGAACCTGTGTCTTGTTAACCTTTGTCAGTCTAACAATAGATAAGCTTGGTCTCTAGGTTGGGATTAGGTTTTGTTCTCGCAAATTAGGGTTTGTTTATGTTAGTTAACGTTCGTTCATTTGGGCTACTTAGACTTTGGGCTCTTAGTTTGGGTACTTAACCTTAGGATGAGCACATTTTGGTCGAGTCTCGCATGTATAACTGATGGAGAGAAGGATAATCAAGAGCTTGACTATGAAGAATTGATTTAATATTCTTGCTTTAGTGAAGCTTCTACTTCGACCATGGTCGTAGCGTTATGTGGAGTTGAATCTCAGAGTGTGATTATTGTCGAGTGTTGTATGTATGAGTCTGTCTGAAGAACATGGAGTACCTACAAGAACCTTTTAAAGACATAACTCTATATATGAATAATTGTTTTTTCCAATATAAATGATAGAGTTTAGATTAGTTTGTCATACAAAGCCAAACTAGACTAACAAAATTTTTGTTAGCATTAATATACATTTATTTTAAATTTCAGAAGGCATAATATAGTTTTTTATGAATATCTTGCAATTATCGTATGAATTTAATAAGACATTTACATGCTTATGATAAAAAAAAAATTTCTTTGAAAAAAACAATTTCTTATTTGAAATATGTAAAATTAGTCGCAATATATTTAAAAATAATAAAAAAAGATGAAAAAGCCAACATAAATATATTAGAATGAAAAAAATGAAAAATGATTTATATTAAAGAATTATTATGTCATCTCAAAGTTAATATAGAGTGTGAATTGAATTAGGAGAACAAAGATCCCAACTACTTGTGATAAATTTTTGGAAAAAAGTGATAATGAGTCTGAGCAGTTGGGATATGTAATGGTATACCAATACATATAAGAGTAAAAAAATATGAAAACAGCCAAGAATTGCAAATGTTTGTAAGCGTTATGCAATTGGAAGTAGATTGAAGAGGGAATTCATGAAGTGTAAATGATGCTTTCACATGGATAGTGGAAACATCACCGAAATGATAATGACGTCTTAAAAAAGCAAAAGAGTGCAAAGAATCAGCTCTTACAAAATATAGCTCAAATGTATACTAAAGGGAGTTATATGTAATTCACAAATTTTTTGAAAAATGATTAGTCATCGTGTCTTACTCGTAATTTCAGTGTAACAAAGAATATAACATGTAAGCAAATTCCCATTCCAATGAAGGCATGCATTTACTTATCCTAATGGAAGGTAGACTTGGTAAAGAAAAATACCAAATATATTGATAAAAAAAATTTGATATTGGAGAAGTAGATCTTGCACCCTCAATTACTGTTAAGTATTTGAAGCAGAGTATTCACCACTTTCTAAGAAGAACTTCAGTAAATAAGGTGTCCAAATACTGCGATATGAGGAGAAAGGACTTTAAAAAAATATTAAATTATAGCGTTAATCATAAAGTGAGTTGTAAATGGAGCCATACACATTGAATTGAACTCAAAAGAGCTTAACATATTTTCTTTGGGAAGATGAGCTAAGAAGTATGAGACCCATGTGAGAAGAATCCGATGTCTTCAACCTCGTCCCAAAATGCTTCTATATTCTCTTTCTCGGGTGCACTCTGTCATGCACTGATTCCCATGATTGTAGAAGATTATACTTCCAAAAGTTCTTACAGTGCATCTTGTCTTGCACCAACGGACAAGTCGGTGCGTCGGACAAATAGCGTCCGTTGCAGCCACCAAGCTTCTGAGAAACTCAAAGCCGTCCGTCCCTTGGAAGGATTTTACTTCCCGCATCGAAAGCTGCCGCAGCGAACACGCAGACGTCCTCCAGAAGTAAAGACTGTTGAAGTGACAAACACATACAGATACTATACTATCATACAAAAGTGTACGGTATCAGTTCACAGGCAGCAGCAGATGAACGGATATTTGTCAGATAGATGTCATGGGAACCCCACGGAAGCGTCGGAAAGTGGTCCAGACGACGCCTTTCCACCGGATTGGGGGCTGTTTTGGCGGCTCCTCCACTTGGCAGAACTGGCTGCCGTTTTCTTGGCTTTTCCTGATATCTCGGATCTATCTCGGTCCATGCGATCTGTCATCGTATCGGCTCTTTTTTCTTCGCGAGCGCCGTTGTGTGCTTAGGGAAACATTAGGCGAGATCGATTCCAGGCATTTTAAGTAGTGACTGGCAATTAATTGTTTCGCTCTCAACCAATGGGCCGATTGATGTAAGTACGAAATTTTCCGGGAAGGAACTCAGGTAACATGAGACTATAGCCTAATAGCAGCATAATAGGATTTGTGTTAACATAAACTTACATCACTCGTTATTCAAACAATTAGCTTCGTTTGATTGCAACTGAAATGTATTGCTCTATGCAGAAAACTATTTATTACAATATCCTCTATCAGAAAATGGAAATATAATACATTTATAATTATAAAAAATTAATACTGTGTAATACAGGATTGTAGGTTCTCAAGTGCATTTTTATGAACATGCCAAAATCGGTAATTTTAACTAAAAACTGAGAGATAAATTTTATATATCTTTACATATTCACATATTGAGATCCTTGGTTTCTGAGGTTTCACTAGCGACATACCAAAGAATATTCTAAAAATAAATCTTCCAAGTGTTGGAATCGTTATACCACAATTATGACAACAATCTCTTCTTTCCAAGTAAACTTTAGGTATGCTGTAACTCAAGCTGACTACAACATATACTGACATTTCATGTATTTAAGATATTCCTACTGGCAATGAGTGATTGTAAAATTTGATGCCTCGAAAGTCATATCCAAGTCAGAAGTGAGTGATAACAATACATAAAGATAGAAACTCACTTTCGGGAAAACTGGAACTTGTCCAAATTGGAAAGCTCAAAATGCATAATGATAAACACAAGGTTTACGAGACTGCATCCTTGCCAAAGCAAAATGGTAAAATGAACACCCTAGAGCAAGTATAAATGGATCCATAAGGTGTGAATGCAGTACATGCTTCAAGTGCAGGCACATCAAATTAACCTTATGAAATACATGCTATTTAATTCAGTAGGTTGCCACATAAAAGAAGGGTCGGAGTTCAATTTGTGGCTAAAGCTTCTCATGCATGCACAGGATTTAGTAGTGAGTGACGAGGGAAGAAAGAAATGTTCGAACCGTTTTATATGCCGGAGTTGCACTCAGATCGATGCAGCGATCTTACGCAGTTTGTGGTGAATGGCAGCGCAGAGCTCAACCACGTGGAGGGAGGTTGACGTCGTATCCGACATACCATACGTATTCATACGACAGTACGGGAGGTGTACAGTACAGAACCAGATGATGAGTAACTGCGGAGACTGTATCAACGGCAACAAGGGAGAGTAACGTTTTAAATTCGAACACATGTCAGGCCTTGGATTGGCATCGGACGGCGTGCAGCCGTTAATGAGGCCATTGAAGAGAGGGCCTTCATTGACGGAGACTGTTGGGCCGGGGGTCGTAAAAGACGGGTACTTGTCGTTGCTCGTCAGCGGAAGCACTTTGGTGAATTCGCCAGTGAACTGTCAGTGGATGAAGAATCTGGGAACTAAGCGTCAGGTGGTACGTTGAGCTCGAGCTGCAGAAAGGCCTGCTGCCTTGCTTTGCCTTGCATTGCATTGCATGAGCTGCTGACTCAGAGGATCCAGTCGATGTGTTCTGCTGCAACACGAGCCGGATGGTTGAGGAGTATCTTTGGGAATGGGAATTCAGTATGACCTGGTAGGTGATAGATCAATGATCTGCAGTGTCGAGGTGGAGGCGCAGAAAGAGAAAGTAAGATAGAGGGGCAGGGAGAGAGAGAGAGAGAGTGAGAAGAGCCCGAAGGGTTATTATTCGGGAAAGGATTATTAAGGGAGCAGCAGCAGCAGCAGCAGAGGACCGTGTGCATCACTGACAGAGTCGTAGCCGAGCACGAGGAGGAGCATATGGGAACGTCACGCTGTACGCTGAACGGCAGAAGTAGTTAGAAAATGTGGGAAGTAGATGGACGTCGAAGTAGCAGCAAGCAAATTCCAGCTGCACGCAGCCGGATCGGTGTCAAATATGCAGCGAGCAATTGAGGTGAGGTGAAAGTAAAAATTAATGTCGAAGAAGAGTTTGGTTTCTAGGTTTCTAGTGGAGCTGAAGAAAATGATTTCGTTCTGTGGTGTAAGTTTCTGGAGAGGTGAAGACCGTGGGCAAACTCTGAGTTGACTGTCAAGAAAATTGTAATGGGGTAATGTGCCTATATCGACCTCGTTTTAGACCAAAATTGGGTGGTGCTCGACAGTTCTTTATGATTTCTTGGCAAGCAATTGGACGTTTCTGGGCTGTAACAACATTTTCTTGAGTCACTCGCGCTCGGTTCGCTAGATTGCAGTATATGAGTGACTTGGCCGAAGAGCTCTTTAGCTTGCACGGCCCTGTGATTTATGTGGCATTACAGGGCGACTGTAGCATGCAGTACGATTGATCAACGACATTTTACACTGACGTCAAATGCTCCCGTGTGCAGACTTAGGCCCAAAGCCGATCGGTGACGTTGTATGTATTGAGAGAGAGTCGACGGGTTGAGTCTCCACTGCGAGAGAACTTCTTCTTCGGAAAAGTCTAAGGCGCAGACGTGTATCTCTCATGGATAGATATGGCTCAAGCAAGTTGGCACGAGCGTGTTCAGCTAGAGAAGGCTCATGTGGACTCATGACCAAGTGTAGGCTCGGGCTCGTGTACATGCTGTTGGTTGCGAATTTGTCGCTGTTGAACAAATCTCTCGCACAAAGCAATTGGTCACCTGATGCCAAAGGTCTGCAGGCTCTCAGAGTCGGTGTCGATGTCCAAGGCGCACTCACCGCATCTTGGGTGGGAGACGACCCGTGCGTCAATGGGCCGGGGAAATCAACCTGGCAGGGGATTACGTGCAACATCAGAAGCCGGGTGGACGTCGTTCTGTTAGATAACTTGAATCTGACAGGAACCATTCCAGAGAACTCTCTGAGCTTGTTGAATGAGGTGAAGACAATCACCGTATCCTTCAATCAGCTCTCAGGCGGGATCCCGAACCTGTCGAACTGCACAAGTCTGCTGCAATTGTTTCTGCAGAGCAACCAGTTGTCCGGGCAAATCCCGAACTTTTTGGCCAAGTCTCGCAGACTGTTGAAACTAGACCTGTCACGGAATAACCTGGACGGCCCAATTCCTGATGTGAGTGGAGATTCGGCCCTCGTCTACCTCAACGTGAGCTACAACTCTCTCAATGGGAGCATCCCTCCACTGAGCAACTCTAAATTGCGCGCTTTGGATATTTCTAACAACAATCTGCAGGGAGAAATCCCCGCGTCGCTGAGAAACTTCACCGCGGAGGTATTCTCTGGGAATAATCTGCTCTGTGGAAGCCCACTTCCAACAGACTGCGCGTCTGTTCTCAATCCCTCAGCTCCTCCGAACCCCATTTTCATTCCTGAAGGAAATGCACCTTCGCCGGGACCCGCCGAGGCTGCAGAGGCCGGCGGTGAGCGCAAGAAGCAGAAGCTCGGAACAGGAGCTGTGATCGCCATCGTGGTGGGAGACACTCTGGTGCTGGTCATGCTCACGGTCGTATTCCTCATCTACTACTGGAGGAAGTACTCGAAGGATGTGGACGAGAAACCAGGCATGAAGGGCGCAGCAGGAGACACCAAATCCAACAGCGGGTTCAGTCAGTCGTCTGCGCAGTTGTCATCGCTCAAGGACTCGGAAGCCGAAATCTCCAAACTCATTTTCTTCGATGAATCGCAGCAGCGCTTCGAGCTCGAGGACCTGCTGCGCGCGTCCGCCGAGATGTTGGGCAAGGGCAGCTTCGGCACGGCTTACAAGGCAGTGCTGGAGAGCGGCATGATCGTCGCCGTCAAGCGCCTTCGCGACCTTCGAACCGAAACCAGCAGAAGCGACTTCGAGAGTCACATGGAGCTGCTCGGGAAGCTCAAGCACCCGAACCTCGTCCCTCTCCGAGCTTACTACTACGCCAAGGAGGAGAAGCTGCTCGTCTACGACTACATGTCCAATGGCAACCTCTTTTCCATGCTCCACGGTCAGTCTCCCTCGCACCATCCTCGTCTTCCCCGACGAAGATCCATCCCATTGGTATACGATACATCAGTCTCACGTCCTGACACCAATTTGGCATTTGGAGTTGCGCAGTTAACATCATCAGTCTTCTCTGCAGAGAGTCTGCAGGTCCTCGAGTAGAGGATTTTGTGCAGAATGTGACCGACAGCATTATATGTGAGAATGTTTTGTGGTCGTTTGGGTTGATGCAATCAGACGTCTGATTGTTTGGGTGGCTTGTTTGTGTGGCGTCGGGCAGGGAACAGAGGGTCCGGGAGAACGCCGCTCGATTGGACGTCACGGCTGCGCATAGCTCGAGAGGTGGCGATCGGACTGGCCTATTTGCATCAGGAGTTTGAGAGCCAGAAGATGTTCCACGGGAATATCAAGTCCAGCAACATTTTGGTGAGTAAGAATTATGAGATTTGCATCTCGGACGTCGGCCTTGTGGCGCTCATGAACCCTGCGATCGCTGCACACCGCATGGCTGGCTACCGAGCTCCCGAGTACAATCACACGAAGAGGATCACTCACAAAGCCGACGTCTACAGCTTCGGTGTTCTCCTGCTCGAGCTGCTCACAGGTAAATCTCTGTCCCATCTCTCCTGTATAGTCGTACCCCAACTTAGAGTTATGAATGCCACGCCAAGTTTCAGAGATGCATTCTATCAGGTCGTGAACACGACTTGATGGTCGAGCATTCTCCATGGCAAAGTTCTGCACATGGAGACGCCACCACCCGGTCGCTGAGTCGATGTGCGAGACTAAATTTGAACCCCACGACCTCAGCGGAACCCGGAGTCGATGAGTGAGAAAATTATATATTGTGATTGAAGTCCAGTTGACTGATCGGAAGGCCATGGCGACTTCCGGAAACCCACCGTGCTACCTATTTCTACTACCTTCAGGCTCTTGTAGATTCAGTCTTGTGAGAAGATTTCGTCCCAGATTTTAGGAGACATCCCGAGAGAGATGTCCCGAGCAGGAGGCTATTTGTCAAATGGTAAATCTGTAATGGAATGTAGTGGCTGGCTATCAAAACGAGAGATAGGGTTCTTCTATTACCGTGAAGATGAGTACTCGAATTACAGCCCCTTTCCAGAACAATTAACTTAAGTCAAGCAGGCGGAAAATTAGGCCTAATGGGGCTCCTAATCAAGATCCCAGAAGGTGCACTTAGAAGTCGAGAAATGACGATCTGAGTTTTGCATCAGATCTAACCAAAGAAAATATCTCAGCAGCTCTTAAATTGGACAGATCTCGACAATTAACGAGAATTTGAGGACCTCGTGTCACAAAACTTGATTAGACTAATCTCTCATAAGCTTCCAGATTAGCTGGCAAGTCTTAGAAACGTGTGCTAAGTGCTTTTAGAAAACTATATTTAATAGAACAAGGTTAGATTATTTGTCCTGAAAAATAGAGTGACGAAGTTTGTGTCCCTAGAATGTCGGTATGCCATTTTGGCCTCAGATAATCGAGTTGGTAATAATTTCATTAATGATACTGAGTCCTTTCAAATGACAACTCTTACCCACAACGTAATACGAGGCCTCGAGAATCTGGGTCCTGTTGTAGATCTGTCGTTTACTGTAGCCAGGGAAGCCTACAAGAGCTAGATTGCCAAGTCTAAGAGCTCATGTTTGGTCTACATACGAGTCGAGTCGTGTGAGAATTAGTGTACTGAGGTCAGACTTCTTCAGTGCGGAGGCAGCTGGGACATTGTTGAGAACTTGAAGTGTCGTATCACAGGACGTCAGCCTGCTCAAACGCATGAATCCCAAGGAAATGGGGTCGACCTTCCGAAGTGGGTGCACTCAGTGGTTCGAGAGGAGTGGACCGCAGAAGTTTTCGACTTGGAGCTCAAATCCTTCAGACACGGAGAGGAGGAGATGGTGACTCTACTTCAAATTGCCATGGCTTGTGTCACTCCGAATCCGGAGCAGCGTCCCAGAATGCCTCAGGTGGTGAAACTGATCGAGGAGATCCGAGCGGCCGATATATGTGAGACCTCTGAATCCTTCGACAGCCAGACCCAGACGGCAGACCTCACAGGTCATGACTCTCCTTTCCACCTCTGAGTGCGATCGGTCATGAACGATTCCGGCTCGGCTCCTTCTTCCAAGTAAGTCATTGTATATTCTCCCCTCGTCTTCACTTTCCTTTTTCCTCATCTTATCCATGCATTACTGTGCCACGAAAACATGGGCCAGAGCTCCCAGCCTTTCCTCTCTTAGGCCAGACCTATCATACAGTACTTGTGCTCAGATTTCCGGCGATTCCTTCGATGTGATTTGCTGAGATTGAGTACATGACCCTGCAGGATTCGGTCAAGGACCCCAAAATTGCCGAAATCATCCACCCGCAACCAGTGTGCAGCACTAACAAACCATCAGTTTCAGAGAAGGATGCACTACGAAACTTCTAAGTCTTCTGGGAAATCAAATTCTAGCTTCACGCAGCAAACCCAGACAGACTACATTTTTTTCATTGCCTTTCTCGACGGTATAACTTCAGGAGTTTGGAGAAACACATGTACATGATCAACGTTTAGTCTAGCGTTCCCTATTGGTTTGAGATTTATACTCCATAGATCTAAACGTGTAACAAAATCCAGCATGCGAGTGTGTACCGATTCAGAAGGACATAAGAATAGTTTGGAGTACACTAATATGAATAGGGGAGAAAGGCTATGCTACAATGTGGATTTGAAGCAAGTCACTTCCTCTCGTGATGCTCGCTCCATTAGCAGACACCTTGAAGCCAAAAAAACATATGATAGCGTTTTATTTCCACTGAGATGTGGACTGGAACGGCCGGAACGAGAACGAGGGTCGAATGCTTTTTCTGATTTGAAAAACTTCGTGGATGTACCTCGTTTATCTTCTCCTCGAGGAAATATATTCTTTTTTATTGAATGAAACGATGGATGAAATACCCACATTCTTTTCAATCGCAGGCTGTGCTCTTCGAAGCTCCTTCACTTTAGAAGGCGAAGAAGTTTCTAACTTTGAGTCACTTTTTTGAATTTTGTGCTTAATATATCAGTAGCTTAATATATCTTCTAGTTGTGGAGGATCCTAACCTCAACGCGAGATAATCGCCCCAGCCCCAGCCCTACCACCTCCTCTACTTCAGCTCTTACGTCCCGCTATGCCGGAATCATCAAGGTGCTGCCCCTCTAGCCAAGAGTATTACCGAAGTGAACCTTTTCAAGCTTTCCTTTCGGAAACTCGTGAATTTGAGGACTCCTTACTTTCAAGATACACACTAAGAGCAAAGAGTATTGTCCTAGAAGAGTATCTCTACCAGCCCTTCAACTTCTACAGCTTGATTATTGTTGTGACCCTGTAGTGGTTGGTTAACCGTCAAATTTGAAAGTATAATATTATCACGTTAGAAGTCATTTTGCATATGAATGTACGATAGTTCTCAGAATCCAAATATAGATTCGTTCGTAACCCGAGTAGACTATCTTCCAGTCCATATGATATATTAAGCATCTTGCGTTACCGCAAACATTACATTTCATGACATCACATACTGTAATCTTCAACAAATGATACATTAATCAATGTATTCATGTGACACCTAAATCTAGAGTTGTATCATGTACATGAATATAACATAATATATATATGATGAGAAATTTAAAACCTCAATTCACGGTGAAGATGAATCCCACAAATCTGCACCCTTGTTCAATAGAAAATCTAGACGAGGTAACTTGTGGTAACAAAAAGTAGTTCTGTAAAGTAGTTATGGAAGTTAAAACAATACATGATAACATTATTTCTGGATATCTGGACTGGTCCAAGTTCACGTCACAAAGCGTCCAAATGAAGAAAGTTGCATAATTATGTGAAAGCCCACGGACATCCCATGGACTAGAGAAACTACAGAAGATCCATGCGATGAAGTTAAAGCCACTGAAACTGCCCTAGTGTATCCATGGAGACTCCGATACAAGTCTTACAATCGAATCAAGAGTTCATGCGAGACGAGAAAGTTCTAATCCACACCTCGTCCATCAACATGGAGGACAATCATCTCGAAGAACTCGATAACATGGATTCAGCCACCCACACGCAATGTAGTTAGTTGTGCTCGATGCGCTCAAAGTATAATACATGTGATGATTGCGGTGTGATTTGAACAAAGTGCAGTGCGAAATTCGGGAGTGACACGAGAGAGAGGGAGAGAGAGAAGAGTTGTTCTAAAACTGAAGCAAAGACGAGGAGGGGTCCTGATGACTGCTGACCAGCATCATTGGAACGAAGTGCCACGGCCAAGCCAAGCGGGCGGGGACTGAGGACCGGGCAGGGCGAGGGAGAAGGGCAGACAGTTCGTGGTAATTTGTTTGTATAGATAAAACGAAGGGTGGAACTTGGGGAGCTTGAGAGGCTCGAAGGTGGCTTACCTGTCACTAACTTATTTGAACGGGTTTGACCTGCGCTGTGCTGGATGCCTGTAACGGGGGCCGCAACGAGGCGCCCATAATTGGCACCACCGAGCATGGTGTCAAACGTGGGATACGGCAGTCGCCAGCAGCAGCAGGAGGAGCAGCAGGAGGAGCAGCAGTAGTAGTTGAAGTGGAAGCAGAGGACGTAGTGTTGGAAAGTGGCCGCAGGTCACTTCCCTTTTTCCTCATCTGGGCTCGACTTCAATCTGCGCTGGAATCGCAGCCCTACGAAACTGACACTCACTTTTGCTGATAATCGTGGAAGTGGGGAAGCGAGGGAAGTCAGGACGGAGCTCGACTGGTTTTCCTTCCCGGACCGCCCACGCAGATCTCCACTGTGAGTGGTAGGTGACTCTCCTCAGATACTCGCCTGGATCGCGCCCGGATTTTTTTTATTCTCCTTTTCTTCGTCACCGGACTGAAAGATGAGAATCTGGTGGTGATAGTCTCGTAGAAATCGATATGTGAAATAGGATTGCCTCTCGATTTGGACTTACAGGAAATTCTGCAAGGACCCTTGAGGAGGTGATGGATCAGGGGTTTGGGAGGGCGTCTGATCTTTGACGTGACCGAACTGATATGCGTAGGAGGAGGAGAAGGAAGAAGAGAAGGAGCCATGGTGTTGTCTGAGACGCTGCACGAGACTTAAACGCGAGATAGAGTGTAACAATTTAGAAGGGGACTGGAAATTAGATTTGAAGGGCAGGGCAGGGCAGGAGGGCACCATGGGAGCGACAGTCGACATAGATGACGCCCTGAAGGTCCTTCTTCGCAGTTGATGATGGAAGATGACATGGCAGGATTCAGCAGCGGCGAACTTTGAGTGACTGCCCTTATTGCTTGCGATCATCACCTCAACGCGGTACGCCAATGGCACCCGCTCTGCACAATGTTTCTCTTATCGCCCAGATTGGCTCCACCATTGCTCGGAAAAGAGCTGTTCTCTTCTCTGAAAATTCTCAGAACGTATATGGCTGGGTCGTATTTTGAATATAGCAACAAGGGCAAGATGTATTTCTAAAGCGGGCACTTCCCTGCAATGCTGTATTCTGTGAAACCTTCATCCAGGATCAGTGCGCAACATTTCAATGTGCTCTGGGCAGTAGAGTCGAACCCATGAAGACATTTTAATAAAAAGTGGTGATTTTAGAACGGGTCGTGAATACGGAATTTGCAGTGTGGTTTTTAGCAAATTCTGAGATTTAGACAACGGCACCATATCTCTGAGCTTCACGACGTGATCGTTCTCGACCTCCCAATCGATTTTGTACTGCTCTGTCCTCCTGATACATGTGTTGACCTTTGTTGACCTTATAACTCAGCCTTTGAGAAATTTCTAATGTGATTTGTATGAATTGGTGGATTGTTGCAGGAACTGGACCATAGTAGTCAGATTCATGCGCTTAACATGAATAGAGAGAAAGAATTGGGTTATAGTTGAAAACCAGAAAATTTTGTGACTTGAGTAAAGCCAAAATGGAGAACAATGATATATTCAACAATTCCACGGCCCAGCTGACTGTTCATGACTTTCTCGATCGCATGCGCCATCCTTCTGCTGCTGATCTCGTCCGATCCATTAAAACGTAGGTATATCTTTTTCATGGGGAAACTTGTTCCCCATGCTTTTCCTTTATGCTGCTTGCGGCACTGTACTTTCAGAAGTACTCTTCAGTTTCAACTTTGTGGTTCGAATGGGTTGCGCATAATGACCGAGGGGCTAGCTTATCAAAGTTAGTCATCGACCTGATCAAAGTCTTCTCACAACGAAAAGTAGCCTTGTCATTTTATTGACATTTGCTTCTTGCAGTTTTATAGGGGAATTTCTGAATAATCCTCCTGATCCGGAAAAGGATAGTCAAAGTGTACAAGGGTTTCTTGCAAGCACTGAAAGTGTTTTCAGAGAGCATCCTTTGTGGGCCACTGCGACTGAGGAGGAGTTCGAAAGTTCTGGCGAGGTAAGGAGCTGAGCAGATTCTCTATAGACGCCCGGGAGATGTCTGAGCATTGTCTTGAAGTCGGGTGTTCTAACTTCTCACATGTGACGAATTAGCTCTGTTGCACATTGAGAGATGACCTCAGGTTGTATACTGTGAAGTCAACGTCAATTCATTCTGTGTGTGGTGTCTTCACTGCAGGGTCTCGAGAAGTACTTAATGACTAAGCTCTGGCCACGGGCTTTTTCACCTGTTCCAGAGGATGCAGAAATAGACCAACGACTCTCAGAAAAGATGACTATACTGCAAGAGTTCATACGCCCAGAGCACCTTGACATACCTAAGAACTCACAGAATGAAACTTCTTGGCTGGTATGCAAACAACCGAAGTGGAAAATGCTTCGACGGGCGGACTTGCTTTCTGAGTGACCCATACACAGTACAAAGAAATTCTGTAGAAAATACATATGGTGCTGAATGCCTGAAATGTTGCTATGCGGTAGATATGCTATTTACGCGTCATTGTAAACACTTTGTAATATTGAAGGCGGTAATCAAGGCCATTGCTCTCGTCTTGCTTCAATTCAAGGCTTTCGTCGTCATATTCAAACTGTGGTTTATGCATTTGCAGCTGGCTCAGAAAGAGCTGCGGAAAATTAATACTTACAAGGCTCCTCGTGACAAGCTGGTTTGCATTTTAAATTGCTGCCGAATAATCAACAACCTTCTGGTGAATGTTTCCATGGCATCAAACGACAACCCACCAGGAGCAGATGACTTTCTGCCTGTCCTGATATACGTAGTCATCAAGGTACGTCAGTATGATATGTTCTCTTGTCGCATATACTTCTGGAAGCTCTGGTTGCGATGGACAACCACAATCAGTTTTTGTGAGGTTTAAGTAGCAGATGACGTTTTGCCAGTTCGTTGAACGTCAATAATAACATCACTGTTGGTTCCCGTACGTTTTCGTTCAGGCAAATCCTCCCCAGTTGCACTCAAATCTTCAGTACATTCTACGCTATCGCCATCAGGGACGGCTTGTTTCAGAGGCATCGTACTTCTACACCAACCTGGTCTCAGCTGAGTCATTTATCCAGAACTTGGACTCTTCCTCCCTTTCTATGAATCCTGCTGAGTTCGAAAAGCGTATGCAAGCGGGTCGTCTGGCAATCGAGGGAGTAAATGGAGTTTCGTCTCCGTCCGTTAACGCTAACAAGGAGGTGACTGCCTCGGACGTATCTCTTCAAAAGAGAACGAAGTCTCCATCAAAACCTGTACTTGGTACAGAAAGCGACCGAGTGCCGGGTGCGAAAAAAGAGGAGCAAGTCGTCACAAAAGATGCCCCGGCGGAAGCCGTAGGTGCACCTGCTGTTCTTTCTGCAGATAAACTTGAAGCAGGGGCAGCGGCCCTAGTCATGGAGGCTGATAAATCAGGACAGCTGAGCAAGGACTACCCATTTCTTTACTCTAGTGCTGGAGATTTGAGAGTTATGGATGTAGAAGAATTGTTGCACGAGTACAAGGAACTGGTCCTACGGTATGTAGCCCTTCGGAAAGCTGTAGAAAGCTCAGTGATATCTGAGAAGCCTTCCACCATCGTGCAAAAACAGGACGCTGAAACCCAAGACGAGGTTCCAGGAGAAAGCTCAGCGGGCTCTGACAAGCCTTCCACCGTTGTGCCAAAACAGGAAACTGAAACTCAAGACGCTGTTCCCCTTGATAGAAGTGATGCGGTGCTTTCTGGAATTTCTGGAACAACGCTATCGACTTCTCAGCCTTCTGCAAACTCCGACCTTAGAGACGAGGTCTCTGCAGGGGAGCTGGTCGATGCAGAAGTAATTGACTCCAACCTCGAAGCGCATGTGTTGCACAAAGGGGATACAACACCACCTCATGTAGGCACTACCACATCGGAAGAGGTGTCCCCGGACAAGACTATACGTCCATTGTCTCCCTCTCAAAAGTTGATGGCACTTGCGGATGCAGAGGATGTATCTGACCTTCAAGGCCTCGATACCAGAGACTTAGGCCCTCTCGAAGTTGCCGAAGAGAAGAAAGGCGTTGGCAAGACTGAGCTGGAAAATCTTGACGAAAGTAACGACAAGCCCAATGAAATTACTGCCTCCCACGAAGGCTCTCCCAGGACTCAATCGAGGTTAGAAGAGCAATCACCCCCCTCGTAAGGCTAAACTGTAACAACCGTTTTTATTTGGAGTAAACTGTGTGAAATATCGCTTGCCATGATGCCATGTACAAGCCGCTGTCATTCCACTCGGACGTTTCCGTGTGTCTGAGTGCTGCGAGATTCGAGGGTTCTTGTCACCAAATTCCACATCTGCTCATTTTGAATTGGTTGCTTCACGTTTGATGTGGTTGTGTACGATTGTGAGATAGGCAGATAGTGCATTTGCCGGTACAATTTGGGAAGGCTTGTGTATATATGTGTCGGGCACGTTCGGGATTCTCTACCCAACATATGTATCCATTACATTCTATTTGCCTCGAAGTAATAAAAAGTTGTCGCCCCCGCTCTTCGCTCTTCAGTTGGCTGGGATCGTTTTTCAGCTGCTTCTCCAGCAGTGCTTTTGGTTGTGTGCTTGAGCTGATTGCCAGTACCTCGGACCTTGTGATGTCCTACAGGTCTCGTGATTGAGTCAGCTGCTGGCATCCGCCCTGTGTTTTCTTCCTTCTGTGGTGTCGTCGTGGAGCATTCCTCCTCGCACCGTTTCTGCATATTTCTAGTCACCTTTGGTCGTCTCCCTGCCGGAAAGCCACTGGTCCGCCGTCAAATAGCCATGTCCCAAATTAGTCGACTGCATGGTACCTTGTACGTTAAGTGCTGCGCTGGTTTCTCCAGCAACTTCACTTTGGGCTCGTTGTCTGTCCTGATCAGATGGTTTCAAAATGCATTAAGTATTGAGTGCACATGGTAACGAGCAATCGAGGAATGTCGTGTGTTGTAATCGGAAGTGCTCAGGAGTGAATAACGTGGCACACTAAATTGACTTTCAAGGGCAGTCTTACATTTGAAACTCTCTCCTTTGAGTTTTACCAAAATATAGTTCAGCAGAGATGAGGTAGTAGATAACACTCGTTTATCGGCCCTTGTTGCGAAGGGGACATGTCTAGTGGCAAGTATTATCCGTTTCGGTGTTTATTGATTTGTAGTTCTGTACGATAGACTTCCGCTTTATATCTGTAGATTTATATAACACCGACGATCAGACAGCCTGTTACATCTTCCACGATCGGAGCGCTGTACAATATATCGAATAACTTATCAGCGCTTCATAGCGTTTGTTTTGAAATGTACACCACAGTGTACAGCGCGGAGACAGTATGTAGAATTTCCACGTTAACTTTAAGTGAATTGAAGAGCCTAGATGGACAATCAATTGTGGCATGGAAGAGTTGGTAGTGTACACGTATGTCGATTAACTGGAGCGGCAAACATGTAAGCTGTCCACTATCGATTTCAAAGACACTTTCCCAGCATGGACATTTTCTTTGCCCAGCTTTTAACATGCACTATGTGATAAAGTGTACATTCATATGTTTCTTCTGGAAAGTTCTCGTCATGAAATGCTCACTGTTTACTTTCTTTCGCTGATCAACTTTCATGTTCCGTGGTTTTCGAGCTGATTTTCACTGAGTTTTATTGACATCATTTACTCGGTATCCAACTTTGGAGCGATAGGATAATGTGTGATGTAAATAGTGTTGTATATTCTCCAATGCATGTGCATTATGTTGCGCAGTGACAATTTATTTCGCATTTGATTCATTTGCAGCCCGTAACATTCCCGTTTTACTTGATTTCCAACATGTGTGACAGGGCATTCAAAATTCAGAAGTCGACATCTGGAAACGTAACCCATCGGAACGTTCCAGAAGCCGAATATGAGATTGTAGGATTCGAGGAAGAAGAGAAATCTGTTAAAACTTCACATACACCTGAATTCTTAGAGTTCACGGTAGAAGATCTCAACGAAATGTACAAAATATAACAAAATTGTCTCATAGCACAGTGAATTAGGACGAATCAGAAACATCTTTTCGTCGCCGCACCTCATGAGCTCAAAATGTAGTTGCTTTGCTGCTGATTCCAGGAGTTCAAATATCACAGGTTTCAATAACAATGTCACTTGCCAATAATAACCTTTTGTGTTCGATAAATCTAAATGGCCCTGATACCCCAGATACCATTTCAGGTGACGTGCCTTCTGTTACAGAATCTCAAGATCACACATTGAGTATATGGTGGTTGTAGCTATGGTGATATGTTTCAAAAAGATGTGAACTGTTGAGCAGTATAAAAGGCGTAAAAATTTGCAACGTGTGAAGATTGCGATTTACTCCCAATCCACTTCCACCCAAAAACAAGATCCAATGTCTACTTGATCTTCTTCTTCGGCCTCAGCTGCGAATCAATCGTCGTGATGAGTTTAGAAGCGGATAAGAACATCCAAACCATAACTTCGTCAGAATGCATCTATGAAAGCTCCAACTGGACAAACGAGAATTGCAGGAAAAACTTTTGAAAATACATGGTGTGAAAGGCAAACCTGGTTACTGTGACCGCATTTCTTCTTCCTACAGTTAACAGCTCGTGGGTGCAATCTGGCGTAGCATCTGCAGTGCCGATATGAAGTAGGTCAGTCAAGATCATTAAAAGTTGACTGCAAAAGATACGCATGCACATATGGAGAAGAGTGAACGATGTTCAAACGTACTTTCGGCAGATCATCTTGTCCTGGTTGTACTTCCTGGCCAAAGCCATAAGGGAAGGCTCGATGATACCTCCACGCAGACGGAGCACCAAATGTAGGGTCGACTCTGAAGATCGACAATATTCATTAGTTGATAAGCCTATGAGCCAAAGATACAACAGCCGGACATCCAAACTCACTCTAGTTTACGGATTGCGTCCTAGATAGAACTCACCCTTTTGGATGTTGTAGTCCGCGAGAGTGCGCCCATCCTCGAGTTGCTTTCCAGCGAAAATTAACCTCTGCTGGTCAGGGGGAATTCCTGATGTCGAGTGCAATGCGTCAGAAATGATCAGAAGGGATAAGATACTTGTGGGAACGTCGAAACTTAAGTCCTCACGTCTCCACGGAGACTTCAGCGCAAATTTAAAACTTCCACTGATACATGGGTTTTTCTTTCACAACATTAGTGAGCGTCCGAAATAGAGATGAAAATGAATGCAAGTGGGCCCTGTAGCTGAACCGATCATAAAAATCTCTTGGATCGGAGAGGGGCTCGCGACGCGAAAAGGGGAGTGGTAGCAGTTGGACTTTCTTGAAAATGAAGAATTGAATCTCTCTCTATGGACAATTGAGAGAGAGAGAGAGAGAGAGAGAGAGAGAGAGAGAGAGAGAGAGAGAGAGAGAGAGAGAGAGAGAGAGAGAGAGAGAGAGAGAGAGAGAGAGAGAGAGAGAGAGAGAGAGAGAGAGAGAGAGAGAGAGAGAGAGAGAGAGAGAGAGAGAGAGAGAGAGAGAGAGAGAGAGAGAGAGAGAGAGCCTCCGGATCAAAAAAGTTACGTCGAAGAACCCTGTTGGTCCTAAACATGTAAATGTAGGAACTAGTGAGAGCAAAATGTTCTCCTGGCTGTCTTTCTGATACGTCTGATATGGTATTGCATGACACAAGGTAAGAGAACTTGCAACTGTCAAAACTGATAATTCAGAACCCTTCGAGCTTTGGAACTAAACTACCGCCGAGATGTGAAGGAACAATTATCCAACAGTGAATTGTCGAAATTGAGCTAGGGAGCAAGACCAGACGAGAGAATTGACAACAGCCACACAACAAACCTCCGACAGCAGAAAATTGCACGCGATCAACACCCTCAGAAGCTGATCACCGGAATACACACAAGCGCTGACGAGAAGATCAAACTTTCCGGACTCCAAATCCCGAAACTCGACAAGCATCAAGGCACTACTGACCTTCCTTGTCCTGAATCTTAGTCTTCACATTGTCGATAGTATCACTGCTCTCGACCTCCAAGGTGATAGTCTTGCCCGTGAGGGTCTTCACGAAGATCTGCATCTCGACCGACGCCCAATTCCAGCAACGCTTGGCCCAATTCTCGAACTCGCAAAGAGAGCATGTGGTCGAACATCGGTCGACCTCAATCCCTTCCGTGCCCAACCCTAACCGGGTGCTCGATGGCACCGGGAACGGTTCCGTAAACCCTAACCCGTGCAGGGGTTACGGGGAACAGCGACTTGGGTGCATGGCTGCGTTGAACGGCTGAGATGAGCCGATCTAAACCCCGGACGGTATCCACTCGCGGTTTAACCCGGGGTTCGTCGAGGGAATAACGGGCGAGTCGCGTGGGAGCGGGTCGGGCGTGGGGTGCTGTTAGGGTGTGGCCGCCGGTATATGTCCGTGGGAGAGCGTTTGGCACTTTCCTTTTGAGAAGAAGAGAGAATTGCTCTCGCTGAAGCGGAAGGAGGTGCAGCTGCTGGCAGGAAATTTCAGGCACGATGGTGACTCCTTTGGTCAAGCGCGATGTCATCAAGAAGAGAGTCAAGAAGTTCAAGCGCATGCAGTCCGACAGGAAGATTTGTGTGAAGGTAGGCCTCGTCTCTTGCTCTTGCGGCCTTTGTCCTCGAAAAATTCTGTCAGCGAATTCGTTCACATGTGTTTTTCTCTGATGGTTAGTGAATGTCCGCGGGTAGTTAGAGTGATGCGTTGTTTTCGCGTGGGAACTGGGAATTTTACTTGGCTGTTTTCGCTTTCAATGGGTTTCCGAGTGTTTGTAAGCACTGGAATGTCTTCGCGAGTAATCACGGATCATACCAGTGTGCAAGGTCGACCTCTGTGACTGAGCTAGTTGGACCACTCCGCAGACCAATTGGAGAAGACCCAAGGGTATTGACTCCCGAGTCAGACGTAAATTCAAGGGCACAACATTGATGCCCAACATTGGTTACGGATCGAACAAGAAGACCAGGCACGTATTGCCGAGCGGCTTCAAGAAGTTTTTGGTCCACAACGTCGCCGATCTGGAGCTTTTGTTGATGCACAACAGGATTTACAGCGCAGAGATTGCCCACAACGTATCCACCTTGAAGAGGAAGGCTATTGTTGAGCGGGCCGCTCAGTTGAACATCGCCATGACTAACGGCAACGCTCGTCTCAGGAGCCAAGAAGACGAGTAGATTTGTAGTGAAGGATATTCTAAATCCTTGTGAACAAATCTCTTGGTATATTAAAACAAGCGAACTTTTTTGTAGCAGAGTCCTCGAAAGAGGCACTCAAAGAGTGCATACTATTCATTTTCAACATGTGGCAATTTTCTCCGGTTAGAATATGGTGTACTTGACACTATCAGCTCAAAAGACAGGTGAGTACAATGCTTCCTGTCTCGTGGATTTTACGATGCCTCACATCTTCCGCCCAATATCTCTTCCTGCCACTCCTTGCTTGAATTTGCCAGGATCCCTTTCATCCCTCTTGTTTAATGGTCTGCTCTCCCTAGAACTGCAATGAGTGTGCACTCATGACGGTGATGCCAATCTGTGATGCAGTGCATACTGCATCACAGATTTCTCTTCTTTCTCGAATCCCACCATCTCAGCCTAGGAACATTCCGATGGATTACGTTTCGAGTCGTCTATATCTGATATTTGAACGCCCTGTCACATGTGGAGAATCAAGTGCTTAAGAAAGGACACTTCTGTGAACGGGCCGAATCTAATGTCAGAATTGTGGGCACTGCGGAATTATTGTTCATGAATGCTGTTATCTTATTTCTTGCACGACACTAGGTGGAGCATAGTTTAACTCAAGCATTTAACTCAAAACAATCAGATGTTAAATCTGGTGATCGATTTTCTTAAATTTCGAAATTACCTTGTGTGCAATCTCCTCTGCATCGACCATTCCTAAACACTCTTTGTACTGTGTATATGGATCGTTCAAAAGGTAAGGCCGTTCGTCAGAGCAATTTCAACTTCGGTCGTTTGCATACCAGCCATAAACTTCATTTATCAAGTTTTAGGATTTTGAAGATGCTCTGGGCGTATGAATTGGTTCAATACTTGCGCGTGGGAAAATTCAATGTTCTCTGCATTGATGATCCCTAAACACTATTTGCACTGTGTATGGAGCATTCAAAAGGTAAGCTCGTTCGTCAGAGCAGTTTCCACTTCGGTCGTTTGCATACCAGCCATAAAACTTCGTCTTATCAAGATGTAGGTTTTTCAAGATACACGGGGCGTATGAACTGTTGCAGTCTAGGCATTTTTCTTTGATGGTCTATATCTGCATCATCCCTCAAACTGGCGATAGAGCTCGTGGCCACTGAGTACTTCTGAGACCCCTAAGTATAGACATAATTATTCGCCACATAGAATGAATTTATGAGGGCTTTACATTACACAATATGACGCCATCTCTCAACGGGGGAATACATCTTATTTATCTCTTTGAAGAGAGAACACGCAACTTCGGCAACACTTTTCCAAAGTTTACCGGACATACGTCTGTCAGCCAGTGGTCAAGTTCGATACTTCACGAAGAATGTGCGTTTTGTCATTGAGCAAAGTTCGAGATCTAGTAGAGAGACCATTACACAACATAATCTGACGATGAGTTTACAGTCTACAAATAGCATACAACATGTAACAGAGCTAACTCATCACACGTGACGCAAATGTACATACTCCACTTCCTGATGTAATAGTCTCTTGCCGCGCGTTTACGGGGAGTGCAGTCATCACTTAACATATCACAACTCACGAGCGCGAAATCAGTCTTGCCAGCCCACATTAGAATATGCCCAAAGACAAATTACACCCAACATTACTTGCTAAAATCGAAAATGAATACAACTGTGACTCAATCCTCTCATAGTAGTCAGTGTAATATGATTATCTTAAACCTTCTCTAGATTTACTTTCTCTTAGACCAAGTATCGAAAATGACTTCAACCCTGACTCAATCCCCTGAGAAGAGTCAGTGAAATATACTCATCATAGACCTTCTCTAAACTTACTTGCTTCTAAACCAACATTCAAATATCATAGCGGCAATGTTGCAGTTGCCTTAGCCTTTATCTGCAACTGCTACCTCCGGATTTCTATGGCCTACATATAAAACCTTATCTATCGAAGCCTAATGTTCCTTCTAGTCCAGCTGATTTGGAAGCAAAAGATCCTGCACTAATTCTTGGCACATGGGTTGATTGTATGGGACTAGAGCACGTGTTTTGTGTCACAATGTTAAGAAATATATTTGTGACACGCAGATGCTTTTGAAAAGACTATTTTCGTTGTCTTTGAATTTGCAATCGATTCAATAGAAGATTAGAGAATTGTTAATACACAATACTTTTTACTAAATGCACCACATACCACACACATTGTATTCGCCACAGATCTCTAACAATTAAATCTCAATGAAAATTGAAGACATAGCCTAATGTTTCCGATATGCGGTTCCTATTGTCTTCTCCTCTCTTCAGTTCTTACTGTTTCATACACAACTTCTATTATCCAGTTGTGAGTTTTTCTCTTCATCCCTCTACATATAGAACCCTCAACTTTGATCGGTGGAGGTGGTGCCCCATGTAGAGACAACAGGAGTGGCATATTCCGAAATCCACTGTGTATTCGGTAAAAGTAAGTGGGCGACAATCAGTAGTGGTGTGCGGTGTATTTAACAATTACCAAAAAATAACAAGAACTGACATTTACACATAGAATTCAGGTTGTTAGAGTGTTATTTTGAACTACTTTTTATCTCAAGGAGCATACATCTTGTAGAATCGGCTACATGACGAGGTAATAAAGACCAAGTAATCCGGTGCTAATCTCCAAAACAAGTTTGTGAAAAATATCCTAAAGTCACCTTCAATTCTCTCAATAAATAACATATTTGTAACTTGCTTGCAAGTGAAGAAAAACTGTGTTGTATACATGACTTGAAAAATACTTCATATGCTAAATCTTAGATCACAATGATTCATGACTTCAGATGAAGATCTCGCTCAAAGTTTTCATAATAAGACAAACTTACGTGGAAACTCAAATATTTGATATATATTAACTCCGATTGGACTCGAGCTCCACCCCACATGGAGATGGCGTGTTGCAATAAAACACAACGCTGGAGGCCCTTTCCTTCGTGTAACTTCTCTAAAACTGTTGACTGTCAGTGAGCAGAACAAGAGCTCGAGCTGCCAAAAGTATACTATCACGAAGAACATGAAGTCAGTGATGTCAATTGCTACTCTGCTACTTTGTCGGCCCTACTCATGACTCTTCTAAATCATAATAGTGGCAAAATTAAAACTCAACCTTCGCTTTTGTTTGGTATGGTTCAAGAAGCCATGGGGTCAATCAGACTCTGCAACCAGAAGATAGCTGAACTTGAACTTGGACAGTGTGTGTGCAATTTGTCTACACTGGCATGTGTATTCGGACGATGGTTACATGGTTTGTTTGCATTGAGTTATACCCCGGGCAGCATGGACAAGTCTGTGTGAGAGGAGCTGGAGCCGAATATCAAACTTCATCGCAAATCCAAGAGGCGCTTCGCTTTCTTCAAGAAGCCACCACAAGTTACTCATGCTGTAAAGAGTTACGCAAGCCCTCATACGAGCATCTCGGAAAACACACCCTCTCCTCCTCCTGGTGGATATGGAGCTCCGTCTTACTCCTTCTTCCCATCAGACACTGATGGAGAATCTACCTCACCTCCATCATCCTACTCTCCCACGACAGCCGATGGATATGAGAATCCCAGTCCTGTTTTCTCCTCCTCAATGCACATATGGAGTATCATCTGCGCCCAAGTCTTTGTACTCTCCACCTGGTGGATATTAGCTCCGTCTTCCTCCTTCACAGGCACTGACGGAATATCGACCTCGTCTCCATCGTCCTCCTACTCTCCTTCTGGTGGATATGGGGTTCCCTCTTCCTTCATGTCGTCACCAGGCACGACCTAACCTACCGTGGATGGATGTGTTTGTGCAGAGCGCTGCAATTGGGGCGGCCACGAACGCCGGCTTCGCAAGTCTCATGAACACACTGATCGATACCCTTCCATCGATGTATCGTTTGCGGTATAGGAATGAAATCTGAGCCTGCGTGCCTTTTGCCTTTCCTGCATGTACACAATGAAGCCCCGATTGCTGCCTAGGTCCCAATGTGGTCTCCCTCCATACCGGGTGGGATGGAGTGACGTTGTACAAGAATTTCTAGTTGAGACCATGAAAGTCAAACAATGAGAGATGATGTGTTACGAAGATACAGACAAAGCGATATCATATTGACAACACATTCTGGATCTCTTATATTAGTCTGGACAGATGAAGCGTGACCGATTTCGTTTCTGTGACAGAAGACCTTTATATCTAGGGAGGCTATGAAGCTTTAGTACTGATGATCTCCACCCATGCATAGGGCTATAGGGATGGGTAAGTTTTGGACATACTTATTTGAAATATCAAAGACTGTGATGCAAAGTGAAGACAATGTGTTGCAATTCGGTTGAAATGACGTACAAAGCTTAACTCGTCATCCAATTGCAAATGCAAGGCAATAGTCAGTCTCTGTGGTGTGTGTGTTGGTAGAGTGTTTTGAAAATATCGAATGCGAATTAAATCTTTGTCTAGTTCCGATGAGAAGAAAACATATTAAATGATCAGCGTCTGGATGCTGGAAATCACTAACTACACAATGTGTCATTAGTCATAGAGCATGCGCAAAGCTTTATTTTGATCTCTTTCGTCCTTATTGTCAACACTCATTTCCAGAGCCCTTCCATACACAAGATTACAAGTTACAAACATATTTCTTTCTACTATGCATGCCCACTTTGCTTTTGGTTTCTTTCCGCAAGAGATGACAGCTTCCCATAAGTAATCATACGTTTCCGGAAATCAATTCCAGTTGGTCCTCAAAATAGGTCCGGTTGCTGAAGTGAAAGTATAGGTCGCATCCTATGCCGAGGATGTGACCTCTAATCATAAGCACAGCCATCTTCGATTTGTTGAGTGCCATCTGTAGCCCCAGCACGGTGGTTGTGGACTCTGACCAGTGTTTATACAACGTTGTTGCTCGGTTGACAGAAAGAGCTGTGAATGCCATAGGAAGTATGTCAAGAAATTTGTCAATGAAACTTCTTGATTCCACAATCAGTAGAGACGAGACTGGTAGACAAGGACATCCAAAAGTTGGATAGTTTACAACTCTAGTGTGATCAAGCGATAGTTTGAGTATGGGATCCTGTCAGTTGGTGGTCAAGCGGGCGAATCCGGAGCCCAAATTTTATCCTCCTACTCTCCACCTGTGGAAATGGAGGTCCGAGTACTCCTTCCTCCACTTCTCGCTTTTCTTTAATGAAAATTAACGTTTCAGTTCTCTCTTGCAGGTATCTTTTGCAGGTAGTTTTTAAGCGTAATTGTATTTGCATGTCTTGGTAGGCACTTTGCCCAAGTCAAGAAATTTGCTCCGCCTCCGGCATCTTTTATATTCAAATGCTCGAGCAGCTACGAAGTATCAAACATCAGCTTACGTTGTGAGTGACGATTATCATTCACGGATTATCAGAGATACTTATTCATCCAAGAGCCTTCTCGGATGACGTCGCTCTCAGATACCAGTGCACATTCTTTATTGGGCCTCACGTGGACTTTGGATTCATACCTTCCATTCAGTAGTCTTCAATAAATTGGTCTAGCACGCCACAATGGGGATAGCTCGAAAAGGTAGCTCTCCTAATTGTTTGGAGAGCGTAATTGGTGTAGCTCCACCACTATAGACATAGAAGAGCAGGAAGCATGAAAGTTGATCGTATAAGGGGGCGTGCATGCACACGTTGATGACGTCTACAAACAGCCGATGTCTGAGAGCATCAACGCTGAGATTGTCAGATGACTGTGTCTCCTGTCTTTATCCGTTTTCGACTGCAAGTCTATGTTTAAGTTGAAAAATGATTTCCCTGCTAGAGATTTTAAGGTCACCATGCACGTCTTCTATAATTAAGAACAATACAGATTTCCAAACAAAAGATTCACGTAAATCGCAACTCCTTCTCCAATACCTGTATTACAATCAGGGGCGGAGCCAGGAATTTTCAGGTGGGGGGGCTACCCGCCAATTTCCAATTACAATTTTTTCTCGACCTCGTTTTCACATTCTGTAACTCACAATCTGTGTAGACCCTTCCTGGGCCTGTGGCTCCGCCCCTGATTACAATTGAGCTTTCTGAAATCCACTCAGCTATCAATAGAGACGACGTTTGCTCTTTCCCAACCTCAAGCTACTCGCAACGACTGATAATAAGTTACAACCACGATGGCCTACCAGAGATTCGAGTTATGCTTAACAAGTGGTTGTACTAATTTATCCCAACTTAAAATCTCATCTACAGTATATCAGGCAGTACTATGCAAGCGTAGAAGCAATTACAGTGCGCTGTATTCAGAAACAAAATTCTGAATACACTCTCTGTCATCCTCAGGGCAGGGAGCGATTGAGTGCCCTCCTATGAAATTCTCATCCCTGCCCACTGATGTGCATGGGCTGAATGTACTGAGATTACAGTACAATATGTCCACCACTTGAGCAAAGATGAAACTCGGAGTCGCTCCACGGCCGCAGCTATTTGTAGAGGAAGTCTAGTAAGGAAGCTGACCGACAACGTTGCGGGGGGGTCGTAGCTGCACACGACGAACAAGGCACCAGAGGGACAAGTGGCCGACCCGCATCCCAGCGCCGCTGTGTCCCTCCACACCACCTGTTGCAAAGAGTGCGACCCGTGTCAAAACCCGCGAGCATGGGGCTCATCACATCGACAACAAGCCCGACCGTGGAAATAACAGCGACACAAGAATTTACTTCCAGTTTCTCGTCCCATTCATGAGTTTCCAGAGTGTCCGTGAAGCCCCTCATCTTTTTTGCATCTGTGGGACCAGCTTTACGCTGATAGAGGTCCTGGGCTCGTGCCTAGTTCGCAAGGTCTAGAAATCTCTGAAAATCAAACTACGGCGGAAAGCCATGGAAACACAACTGCGCACACACTAGGCAACAAAAGCACGAGAAGAATTTGCATGGGACCTGCGTGTAATGACCGCATGACTCGCCCTCGGGGGCCGAGCACGAATTTGTTGCGTAGTCGTAATATGCCTCCTCGCTGACCCAGGCCTGCTCGGTCCACTGGACCGGTAGATGTTCTCCCCGTAAGGTCCTCCAGAGTGGATGAGAGCGCAGTCGTCACCAGCAGCTGCTCTGGTGACGGCCCAGTCAGTAGCATACGATTCCAGCGTGCTGTCCCACGTCAGGCTCGGTATGCCTTGATTCAGCCCAGCTCGGGCATCATTGTGCGGAGTGAGGTACTCGTCTGCTGTGGATTGACCCTGGGCGACATTGATGATGCTCGACGCTGTAAGAGAAATGACAAGAATATGAATCAGAAATCGTGGCCTCAAGCCGAAACCCATCGTAAAACTGAGGATCCAGAAACTTCGAGAGAGATATTTTTTTTTGTACAGGAGAAATCGAGAGCAGAGTCCACTCGGTCTGATATCTAAGGTATCCTTAAGCCTTCGAGATAGTCCTGCTATAAGGATGGCGATCCGAGATAGGAGGAAGTAATCTTCACCCTCAATCCCAGCGTTGAGATCGCAGATATGCAGAAATTGGTACATGTAGAAGGTAGGATCGGGACCCACATGAGCATTTCTCGAAGCCTTTTTGAATGAAAGAAATCATTGGCGAGCATTCTTAATTCCTCACGGAATCCTGTCTACAACTGCCATTAGGCTTGTCATCTGGGCTCTCACTCACAAAAAAATGCAGTCTCGACGCCGCTCATCGGACGACCTTTGAGGAACTTGATAGTCTGTGATCTGGAAGACCTTAGGAGGAGCCTTGTCACAGGTCAAGTCGCATGAATAATCAACATCAAGATATCCACTAGTGGGCTAATGTCAAGATATTGGAGGACTAGAAAAGGTCCATTCCCACTCTCTTGGTCAATCCAGAGTATCTTATATGCGAATCGAAGTGAACGGTAAATAACACAGATTCGAATAATGCAGCTCACATTCTTCACCGTTCTTGCGATGCCCCTGCCCAACAGATCTGTTGTGACATTCTTGAGTACGGGATCGAAATACTTACTCGAGACAGCAGCCATGACATGCTTCTGCTTGGTCACAAACTCCCAGATTGAGCTTCCGGGGACTTGATAACAACGACAAGTTGCAACTTAATGAAACTCTTCCTGAACAGATAATCGTTCCAAATCTTATGTTCTATTTTTCTTTCTGTCGCTATGACTCGAATGGTCACCTCTGCAAACGCATACACAGACCTGTCCACGCGCATTATAATATCTGAATCTTTTTATTCGATTTGAAACTCGACAGCATGGAATTGGAGCTTACAATCTCTTGAAACATAAGCTTTTTCAATGGCACTCACATTCTGATGCATTCTTCTCTTATGAGTTGAGTCATTCCTTACTTCAGATGACTGCAACCCAAAAAGACCATGTGGACCTCGATGCATTTAACTGGCTGTTCATCCTCAATGTTATCTAGATAATTGAAATATCTTCCGAAGACTGGTTCTTGTCCCGCCAGTCGGCAGTCGTGAGGATTGGAAGCGAACTATTTCAACAGTCCTGTAACCTAAATGGTTCACATTTCAGGTTTTCAGGTGTTCTACATGATTGATTCTATGAATACTACGTACATAACTTCGATCATCGAATCCATCCATGGATAACATCTATGGAATAAATGAGTTCCAAATATAACATGAAGAATTACAATTGTGGAAGAAAAATGAGTCTCATTATAGGTCCAAAAAGTGTTATTAAGCTATCTAAAACATGTGCACTAAAAAACAGCATACTTTAAATTCACTTTGAAATATATGATTTGGACAATTATGAAGAAGCATGCAATGCCCAATGACATTGCTTCATAAACTCTTGATTCTAAAATATAGAAATGATACATGTATCATTTATCCATGCATTGCACTATTATAATCTAACAATCATATTGCTATAAAGTTTAGATATAACTCTAAACTGGCTCCGTGCTTATGGGTTTATATATCGACCAGGTCATGAATCGTACGTCATAATTATGGAAATTTTTTAAAAAAATCATGATATATTTATTAAAATTGAAATATGAAGAAAAAGATTTATTGAGAAATTTTCAGTAAGTTCTGAAACTAAACTCTATTTGAGTCATAGAATACAATATATAAAAATATTGTATAAAAATGAATATATATTTTTTTATTTGAGTCATATGAAAATGAAAAAAATATAATAAATTTTCATCTTAAATTTTAAAAATCATCGATTGACACTAATAAATTAGAAAACTAATCTCTATATATTATAAATTAATTAAATTTATAATCAAAATAGTGTAAAATCTATGTATTTTTCATAGTTTTAAAATTTATATTTCTAGGATAGAGAATCTGAAAATTCAATTGAAAATAGTACTAAATTTGATAAACATGAGTTAAAATTTTCAATAACCATTTCTTGTACTATTGAAATATATGAAAGAATTAAAAGTGATGAAAGATTGAAATAATTATTGTAAATGTGTATATTATATAGGGTATATATCTACTAAATCCTATCTGAACAATTCAAGATTAGTTTTAGTATGTATCTAGCGTGTGTAATAAAAATTAGAAAGATCTAATGGTCCGATTTGATTTTTGAACTTTACAAAGTTTATAAATTTGAACTAGTGGAAGAATTTGGAATAAAGACAAGTGAGCATTAAAGATATGCAAGTAAAGTCATACGAAATGCACATAAAATGAAATTAAATATTGATTTAAATATTTTCTATATGATAAAACACATCTGAAACCATTGAGGACATATAATCTATATTGTAGATTTTTTTGTTATTTAAAAAAATAGATAGATTATTTTAATCTCATTTGTTATATTTTGATTCAATTTCCATAAAATCTTGATATTTTGGCACCATCTAAATTATGAATAATAATGTGTTGATTATTGAGAAAAAATGTTTCAATTTCGAACTATATTTTTTTAAAATGAAAAATTATTTTTCCATAAAAAAACCCATAAATTGTTCTTTAGAAAATAGGAAAAACAATCCCAAGAATTTACATAGATTAAATGTAAAATAAAAAATATTAAAGCACTAATTGGCAAAAAATGAAACCTTGAAATATATAATTCATATTTAAAATAGAATAATGACGTTTTTTTGGAAAAATATATTAAAAACAAAATTGGACGTTTTGAGAAGTCTATAAATTTTAAGAAAACATAAAAAGTTGAAACAAATTTAGAAACCACAAATTGAAAATGATTAGATAATATTTTCAAACTAAATAAATCTTGATGCACTCAAAGATAAAAATTGTATATATTAAATATGTCAAAAGTGATTTTTAGCATTTAGATAGACGTCAGAAGAAAGAAAAAAAATATTCAAATACTATTTGACAGAAAGTGATACCTTGAAGTATATAATTCGTATTTAAGATAGAATAATGAAAATTTTCAGAGAAAAGTATATGAAAATTAAAATTGGACGATTCGAGAAGTATTTGAATTATAATAAAACATAAAGAGTTGAAAAAATTTTGGAAACCACAAATTGAAGATGAGTAGATAATATTTTGAACCTAAATAAACCTTAATGCACTCAAAGATAAAAATTGTATATATGAACTGTGTAAAAAAGTTTTTTGAGCATTTAGATAGACTTCAGAAGAAAGAAGAAAAATATTCAAATACTATTTGACAGAAAGTGATACCTTGAGGTATATAATTCGTATTTAAAATAGAATAATAAAATTTTTTAGAGGAAAATATATGAAAAATGAAATTGGACGATTCGAGAAGTCTTTAAACTATAATTAAACATAAAGAGTTGAAAAAAATTTAGAAATCAAAAATTGAAAATGAAATGATAATTTTTGTTTCCTATATAAACCTTGATGCACCTTAAGATATAAATTGTGTATATGATCAATGTAAAAAATGATTTGTAGCATTTGGACAGAAGTCACATCTATATTAGAGTAATCCTGAAACTTGAAATCCGATTTAAATTAATGTTTTTTATCTAAAATATAAAAGTCGGCTGGAAACTTGTGAAATTAATAAAAAATTGCACTTTAACGAAAATCACTCACTCCCTCCGCATTGCCCTTCCCTTCCTTTCTGCTCTGACCCATCGTCCCCAATATATAAATAGTCTTCTACTGGAAATTCCAGTAGAAGTATGCGTTGACACTGGTATTCCCCTCCCTTTTGTGGGTTCGTTGATCTCTCTTGCCACCCGTAAAGGTTATGATACTTAACGTTACAAAGTCGACCTCATTTTCACTCTTTAGTGAAGTGCAGACATTCTAGTAATTAGTGAGAATATGTCGCAACTTGAAATGGGCTAGTACCAAACTGGATTGATGGATTCGCCCATCCTCGAATGAACCAATCACGTAGTGTGATCCAATGTCTCACTGCCAACGAATGTTTCCTTCCTTTTCTGCAGTTACGAACTTTTCTTTTCGGATCTGATCAATTAACCTATCGAGAAATCTAGGACCGGTTAACCTGTGGTCCGGACCGTGGCCAAGCCTAAGAATTGGGCGATAAGGTTAATGATGGACAGTAGACGGCGAGCTGGAGTGAACTAAGTCAACAAAAACTAGACATTGCAACGGAAGACGGAAGCTTCTACTCTCCTATTTGCTTCTGTCGTAAGGTCTCGGCTTGATTTGCTTGAGGTCCTACAAGTGGTGAAAGTGATGTGAAGTAAATTGATTTCTTACTATACCAGCTGGTGAATTGGAAATTACATTTATGCACATTGATACTCAGACGTCTATCAGAGGGGTACCATTGAGCGTCAGAACTTCATGCATACTGGACACATATCATTCATTGCAAGAGCAGATTGCGACTAGAAATCCACTTCTGCACCAGATTCTGCAATTTCCACTGCACAGGAATGAACCCTCGCCTGCTTGGAAAGTAGAAGGGTATTGAGGATTTTCCTTCTCCGCCTGTTCTGAGGAGGGCTTTTAGCAGATTCTGGAGGTTTTGGTAAACATATTGTCAACTAGTTCGACTGCTGTCGAAGTAACAGGAGGAACACAGAGTAGGTGATTGTACTTATGTTGGATGTGCACAGAAGAAGACGACTCGATGTGGCGGCATAAGGTGCCAATGAAAAAGGGAAGCAGAAAATTCCACGCAATGAGAACAGAAGAGAGGACGAGGCTGGTGAAACTGTCAGCGATGGAGAGAAGATGTGGCAAGATGAAAGAATTGCTTGCTTTGACGTAACAATATAAAAATTAGAGATCGCACAAGAATACACTAGCATCGAAAGATCTTCATATGAGGTGATTCCTTGCCTCATAATCTTGAGACACGTAAGAACTCTAAATTCTCATGGCGAGATAATGCATTGTCCGTTGAACCTTTTGGGCTTGAGATGAGGATGTAAAGATAGCTGTAAATAAGGACGCTGTTGAGTTTGCACGGAGAGAACAAAAGTTCTGTCTTCTCCATCATAAAAGCTGAGGCGACCCAGCTGAATACCAGGATCAATGATTTGGAGCAGGGACGGAGCTGACAACACAAAACATCCGCAACAAAGGAAAACCATCCAACCAAATCATCATACAAACACAATAAGATTATGTCACCGCAAGTCAGCAGTTAAAGCTGATGGTTAGAGATCAAAATTCAGCCGGTTAAGCAATTATTTATTTCAACAATAGTTAGGAAATAAAAAGTAAGATCCATAACTGACGCGCTTTTGTGGAATCTGCTTGATCTCAGTTAAACATTGTATTCTCTGTCTTACAGACTTTCTAGAACTTTCCAGTCATTACTTTGAACCTTCAGCAGCCGACAGAAGTTCAGGGGATCTGACCACACATGCCGGTTCACAAAAGAAAGCACGGACGACTTGCTTTGAAGTGGGCTCCACTCCGACTGAGATGGCCACGAAGAACAATGCGGACCGCTTTTCTGGAATCTCCTTGAAACTGGTGTACCAGTAAGTGATCCAGTCATTGGGGTGAAGAATCTCGTGCCTGGTGACGTACTAGAGCGCGTTGAAAGCGTGTAAGAAGTACTCAAAACGCAATCCCGATCGATTGCATGTCTGATCCTCGCCCGACGACTCGCCCAGCCAGGAAGGAAGGGGCAAGGAAACCCACCGGGTGCATGTGCGATTGTAAAGCCTCGAAAAGTTTGCCCTGGGCTCTCTCGGCAGCTCGTGCTCTTGCTCTGCTCGACAGTTTTAGAGAAGGGCCTCCAGCGTTGCCTTTCATGGCAGCACACTATTTCCATGTGAGGGTGAGCTCGAGCCCGATTGAATTCAATGTATATCAAATATTTGAGTTTCCATGTAAGTTTGTCTCGAGTACTGGTATCCTCTGTACACATTTCTTCGATATCATAGATAGTAAATTCACAAAAAGCTTATCAGTTTTTTCTGGGTCTATCTTCCCATTGGTCTTGAGGCAGCTGGATTCGCAGTCTCTCAGTACAGCTGTACATCCAGTCTTTACACAGCTCAGGGTTTGTCACATCTGAGATATCTGCAATATCATGCATTCCATGACATTCTGCTTTCACATCGCACTATCTTTGCTAAGAACTTGATTTCAGATACTCCTGCAGAGCTATCATCTTGTCCACTCAGTTCTGTCACCAGTGCACATCAAACCCTTCTCTCCCAGAGGCGTTTCCGATAGACGTGTAGTCTTTTTTGCCACACGGTCTACGATTTAGGTTGGCACCAGAATCCTGGTCGTCTGTGTTCATTTTGACTCCCATCGCTTCTCCCGAGCTCGAGGAGACTCCTGTTTCCACTTTGCACAATCTCCCTTCGTTTTGTGGTCATTGTGGATCTTGGAGTTATATTTGTGTTGCTAATTGTGCACAGTGCGAGAAGTCTGATGCCCAGCACGCACATGCACACTAGGACGGGGAGATCGAGAGCAGGGCTTTCGGATTAAGGAGAGGGCCTCCTGTAGGCACGGTTACATTTCCCCGGCGCATGCCAAGTAACAAATGTTTCTTCCTCTGTGAGAGAGGAGGAGAGAAAGGAAGGTGCGTCCATCGTCAATCACACTGCTCACTTTGAAGTTTGCAATTCAAACACCTCTCTCTCCATTTGAGTACACAAAAGGTTTGCGTTTTCAAGAGCCGTGAAATCTCCTTTCACACTCCCTAAAATTTCGCTTGGAACCAGAGTCCTGGTTCTCATTGCTTGTTGTGAGTTCATGCAGCCTCCTGCTTCCACTTTGCACAATCTTCCTGATTTCGTTTTCATAGCTCTTGATTCCAGCACATTCTGTGGCAGAGCTTGGGTTAATCTTTGTGTTGCTAATCATGCAGAGTGCAAGAAGTTTCATGCTTAGCACGCATATGTACACGAGCTGTTAGATGCTACGCGACGGGAGGTTTAGTTTTCTTCGGGATCGAGGAGGGGGCTTCCTGTAGGCCCGCTTACATTTCGCTCGCGCATGCCAAGCAACAAACTTTTCTTCCTCTGGGCGAGTAGAGGAGAGAATGGAAGGTGCTGGTGCGTCCAATGTCAGTCACGCTGCCGAGACACGGGAAATGGACTCTGCAGACGAGGAACCGGAGCTTCCCTCCGCTGTCCAGAAACTTATACTGCGTCTAGAAGGAGAAGGCAAGCCTACAAGGTGGCTTCCCCAATTAACCAAGGAAGAATTTCGGGATTTCTTTCCGCCTCCTGAATTGCTCTCAACAATCTCAGGGTGGCGAAGCCAAGTGCGCCTTCGAATACTGGAGGCAATCGGCAACTGCAACCGCTTTGAGTTCCTAAACTTCCGAGCAATCTGTGGATATAAAGGAAGTATATCGACGTTGAACGCTTGCGAGTGGGAAGTACTTTTGAGAGCATTCAGGGATAGCACCGTTCTACAAGAGATAATCATCCCCGGTTTGGAAGTGAGTTCAGATGACGAATGGGAGAGCTTGTGTTTTCAGATAGGGAGAATTCTGAATACCTCTAGCGTACAAGTTTTGAGAATAGATTCTACCAACTTGAGTGCAAGATGTTTCTTGAATCTCGCCTCAGGTCTGCGGGGAAATTCCGATTCTAAACTCCAGGCTTTAAAGCTAGAGTCCGCGCGGATAGACTCGAGTGCGGTGAAGCATGTGGCTGACATGATCAACAGTGCTACTCGATTAGAAAGTTTGATAATAGACTCTATAGACGACATGGAGGAGGAGAACGTTAGAATCCTGTCACAGGCTTTGATGAAGAGCTCGTCTTTGAAGACATTGACATTATTGAATATGAAGTGGGGAGAGGCCTTGTTGCTGAACGCTTTCGCCGGAGATGACCGCAACCGATCAATTGAACGTCTTGTGCTGGGGCGTTGGGAAAGACTCGGAGACCGTTCATGTGAACTTCTTACTTCCAACCCATCATTGAAGGAAGTGACCTTGAGTTACTTGAAGATGCGTCCTGAGGAATGGCACCAGGTCGGCGAAGTCATACGTGACAAGGCTGGAGCAACAAATATTACAGTTCAGTTTGGTTTACAACAAGATGTTAGAGAGGAATGGGAGTCAATAGAAGCTCTTGCGTTTGCTGCTAGTTCCGATGTCCAGGATCCCAGGTTAGCGCTTCAGATGGTTCATCACAGTGACCAAGGGTCTTGTGAACATGGGTTTATGTTATCAATGAACCTATTAGGTAGGGTACTGCGCGGGGATATCAAATCTCTAAAATCTCTCCGTATATGGGCGAATTTTATCACTTCAGGTACCAACCAAGATAGACTGGAAAGTATCCTATCGATGAATGGAAAAACTGGAGAAACTTCCGTCTTGAAGAGACTGGCGTTACATATTTTAAACAGAGATCTTCACAAGGGACTATGGAAGGACTTGCTTGGGTGCCTGCGAGGGAACACAAGTCTCACTCACTTGCAATTGTATATACCCAAAGTCGATGGTGAAGAGGCGTTCAGGGACCTGATGGGGCTACTGGAAGTTAACTTGACTCTCCAGGAAATAGATGTCAGAGGAACCTCATGGATAATGGAGGGAAAGGAGGCGCAGATCCAAGAAGCACTCAAGCAGAACCAGAAGCGGGCCGTCTACATGTCCGAATTCAGAAAAGCCAAATTAACATTTGGAGATGCAAAAGCTGGTCGACTTTTTCTATGCGGCTCTCCTAGAGCAGGTAAGGTGCTTTGTAGCTTCTCAGTTTTTTCTCTGTGTATGGAAACTAGCAAATGTAAGGTTTGACTTCTAAAAAAATTAAGAATATGTCCATAAATATTATCTTTTTCTAGATGTATTTGAGATTGTGAATTTTTTTTTTAAAGGTTGAGAAAAAGAAAACCAATATCCCAATTAATTCAGATTACAAATGAGATCTACTTAATACATACATGTTTTGATATGAAATTTTTGAATTATTTCCGAATGTTCCAGAAACTCAATGTAGTTTATAGGTTTATCTACACAGTATGATGAAGGAAGATGATATCTCAACTATTAAAATTGTACTTGTGGTGATTGTCTTCATTTTATAGGCAAGACTAAATTGCGACAAACCTTGATGAGGATAGTTCAAGGCAAAAGTTGGCTCGGGAACAAATGGGACCAGTTGTGGAGAACTAAAGGTGTAGAAGTGGAGTTCTTGCAAAACAATGATCAAGGGCAAATATCAGTTTGGGATCTTGCCGGACAAGAGATTTTTCGTACCCTTCAAAATGTGCTATTCCCTCAAACCAGCAACTTTTGTGTTTTTTTATTTGTGTATAGTCAATTCTGTGAGAAATCATCTTTCAGAAAACCAGATTCTTGTTTCCAGACAGAGTTGGAAGATTGGTTGAGTTTCATCACATCCAACACTAGGGTCACTGGACATATTCGGCCACAAGTTCTTGTTGTGATTTCACACAAGGATAAGATCAAATCCAGCTCTTTGACTTGGGCTCATTCCATAATGGATGAACTCAACAAAAAGTTCCAAAAATTTGTGGATCTTCACCCTTTGCAAGAGTGTTTTCATGTAGATGCTCGAAAAAAAAAACAAGTTATTCCTCTCAAAAATCACATTTTTGATATCTTCAAAAAGTTGCTGAGTGAAAAATCCCCACAGGTTTCTCAATTGTGTTCCCAACTTTCATACCTTTTGGCCACAAACACCAAAGAGAACAAAAGTTGTCCTCTTTGGCCATCCCAAAAGTTTTATGAATTCTGTACCCCCAGCTTAACACAATTCATTTCATACTCTTCTCCTCATGCCATTGATCATTCAAGGATAATGAGATCAATCATATCCTACTTGAATGACGTTGGATCCATAGTGTATATTCCCAACCTTGATTACATCATTGTGGATCCAAACTGGCTTACAAATACATTATTGGGTGAGCTGGTAGCTATAGGTCAAAACTTTCAAGCTCAAGAGTTGGGGTCTTCAGACAAAACAATGTCACGTGACTCATACACAAGCAAGGACGGATTTGTGAGTGAGAGTGTTTTTGCTGGTTTGATAGAGGAATTTTTGTTAAACCAACCACATGTGGAGAGAGGTGTGGACAGAGAGACGCTTGAGAACATCCTTATCAATTTGGATTTGTGTTTCAAGCTCGAAGATACTTCTCAGTATTTCATTCCTTCCTTCATACGTGAGCATGCAAGCATGGAAGATCAGAAGCATCAAGTAGCGGAAATGGAGTCGATGGCTTGGAAAACTAGGGATGAGACTTCACAGTTTGTCGGCATCCGGATTCAATGCGCAGATGGAAGAACAATGTCAATGACCGCTGCTTTTTTTCCATGCTTCCAGGTGATTTTATATATACTGTGAGAAGAGTGAATGCGTCATGTTCATATTCTAACTTCTGTTTGATGAATGAAATGTTCTCTTTTCATTACTTGAATTCAATCTTTGAAATGCGCAACTCAATATATACTAAATGTTGGATCATTGCAGATGTTCATGAGAAGAAAGTTGATATCAGAGATGCATGTTTCCAAGGAGATGGTGACCTGCTCTCGACATTATCTGCGACTTTTTCTTGATGGACATCAGATTTATGTCCAGCAAGGAAAGTCCCACAAATACGTGGATGTTTTGATGTTATGCTCAAAGCATAAGTCAAGGGAGGGAGCTCTGAAATATGTAATGAAGCATATCGTCCATGAGTTGATATCATTTTGCGCATCACCGAAAGGCTGTCCTGGGGTGGCGTTAATGCTTGGCGTTATTCAAACACTTTGCGTGGAGATGTTGATTCCGAGTGATCTGAGAGGAACGATTCTGATCGAGGAGCTCAAATCAAAATTCATTCGTAGCATCAAAGACAAACTTGAAGATCTTCCGTTGGATAAGTTGCAGTTGGAGAAGGAGGAAGAGTTGTTCAACTATGAACACTCTTGGCCCTTGATTGAAGGGTACACAACACAGGTTATATTCGAAAGAGCTAGAGACTTGCTGTGGGAGAGCGATGTGGAAGCGGTTGTGAATGAGATCCGAGAGAAGCAGATGCAACACTTGGAGTCATTGCAGCAAGCCCTTATCAAACAATTGGAGAACTTGCAGCAAGGATTGATCAAAGTGAACAATGATTTGATTCATTCTTACCCTGAAAATGAGAATGTGGTTACTAGTTCAAATTTTCTTGACATGAAAGATTCCAATCGACCTTCATCCAGGTGCTTGAGTCGGGCAAGCACAAGTGTAGAAAATCGCTCAGCCCAACGTATTTTGTCCAAGTTTGATCAGCTAGGACAAAAGTTTGATCAGCTAGGGCAAAAGGTTGATGGTTTAGATGAAAGGTTGAGATCGATGGAGAGCATTGTGAAGAGATTGGATATTAAGTTGGGACAGATACTCTCTTTGCAACAACAGCTGCAGTTCAAGTTGAGTGCCTTCATGTCAAAAGTGGACAGGTTCATTCAGTATTCTTATTCGCTTCAGCAGGCAAGAACTCCCAAACGACCTTATGTTACCGATGATGTTGGCATTTTCTATAGGATAAGTGCTCTTCTGCATGTCGGGACAACCATTCGCTTACACTTGATGTGTGAGTCGGCCACTGGGTTTCACCCCGTCAAAGATCAAGAAGGTTTGAAGATACGCTTGGATCGGGAGAATTGTCAGTGGATTCGGAAAACTATTGAAATCTCATTCAAAATCATGTATTATGCTGCAAAGGCTGGACTGGAGAAGACTCTCGGATTAGGCCAAGCGATTCCAGACTGGGAAGATTTAAAATCTGATATTGTTAAACTAGATGGCATTAGCGATCGTGATCGTAGGGCAGTTCTAAAAGGTGGGGAAAGCAAGGAGCTGAAAGAAGCATGGTTGAGGATTCAGCAAACTCTTGCGCCCCAGCTTCAAGATAGCTATTCAGCAATTTTCAAGTTGTATCAAGTGAAATACGTGAGTCTAGAATTAGGTGGGCATGCATGGGTGTGCGAGGAGTGCATGAATAAAGGTAGGAGTTCTGGCATTTTGACATTTTAGGAATTTGAAAAGGTTTGGATATCATTATGCAAATGACCAGTATAAGTTCAGACACTCATGCAATGTGAACCTCTGCAAAATCTTCGTTGGAGTTTTCTTTGCTTTTACAAGTCTCTTATAATCTTTGCAATCATATCAATCGCGCAGTTATGTTTCTGAAGAAGATCAGTATTTGGCTGAACTATCATAATTACATTTTGAGGACAATTTTTAAGTGTGGCTTGTTGCAAGTCTCGCCATGATAAAATCCCTTCACTTACAAGTTGGGTGGTCAGCCTTGAATTTCGATGTATCTCCCAGAATGATTGTTCTGTTATTGTTCTGAATAATGAGGGTCCAACAACAGTATAATGGACAGTAATAAAGATTATGTTATGCTATTTTGTTCAGTTGGTAGCCTTGTTTAAAGACGAGTGCAATTTTGAACACTACATGTTCCTACCACATGCAGTGTTCAAGATGTGCTGGCGTCAGCTTTCCTCACCGGGCCTTCGTAACACTCGTTGTGCACTCTTGGAGCGGCAGGCTCTTGATGAGAGGAATACGGCCGTGCCTGGCAGATTACAGAAACGGAAGCAAACCTAGTTTTTGGTGGCAAGATTTATGATGTGGCGAGGTTTCAACTGGTGAATAGTCTGTCATGAAAGCCCCACCAACTCAGCATGCTTTTTGTGTCTTCACGTTCATTCATTTCGGCTTTGCGAATTGAACAAAATCATTTGGTCCGCCCAAGGACTCCCAGACAGTCAAAACACGAAAATGTGGTGAAGATTCAAGAAAGGTTTGTAGTTTCCACTGTATCACTTCGAGGAAATCTCTTCTTCAGGACTGCCCAATTCAGTACCTTGCAGGAAATCAACCGTCACGACTTACCGCTTACCACTTACCGCTACAGTTCATCGACACTAATTTGTTTGTAGACAAGGGCCTGGAGCTGAGAAAGTGGATATCCACTTTCTCAAGAAACATGCAGGTCTAACGAACAGGGTCGGGTCTATTTTGATTTCCTGGAAAAATTCCCGGCAGACTATCCCAAAAGGCACTGCAGGTAAAAGTGGTATTGTTAGTGTGAAGCTTATGTCGTGAACTTCGTGCTGGCAATTGCAGTGCCGGACATAATCTCCAGACTCCCGGTTTTCTTCGGAAAATGTAGCTAAATCGTCATATTCGAAGCCAAAAAGTGAACTGGGTCCATTACTTTGTGACCCTATACTGACCCCATACATCACTAAACTTGTGCTTTTGAACATTCCTTCATTGACATGCTTTAAGTATCTGGAATTTGATATTGACCTCAGGATTTCGAATTATCCAACTCACGCTGGGGGCATTCACTTCCAGATCTCTTCTTTCTGTTATAAATACCTGAAACGATCAGATAATTGAGAACATCACAAACATTCCAATATTTCAGTTGCTGTCGCACATATATATTTGTGAGCATCCGATGACGAGGAGTATAATCAGCATCAAATATAATCATGAACTATGTCAGAAGAAATCACGTCATAAATTGACATTTGTAAGTACGATCGTTCCTTATCAGTAACATTTATCTCATTTTAATTCTCTTCACATTATCAATAAGTATTTATCGAGAGGACTCGGATACCGACTTGCCAAGACATGTCATTTTCAGATTTGTAGTTTACAAGCTCAAGCTTCCAAACAGAAATTTTCTAGTTTCAGATACTGGTGGGTGAAACCGGCGGAATAGATCAGAAATGTTGTTAACCAATCGGACAGGAAACCAGTAACACTACTCAAAACCAAGTGATAGTGAAATTTTCTGTGAAACAGAAAATTATGGTCATTTAGACGTATGACTACCAAGACAATTGCTGCAATCTTCTGCTTCATCTTTATAATCTAGTTCTCGTACTTACAGTCGGATGAAGTCAGATATAAAACTTGCATTATCATGAAAAAAACAGCTCACTTAATCTCAAAGCAGGGAATGAAAGTTTGAAACAAAAGTTAACACTACAGGTTTGAGCTAAAATACACGGTTCGAGTAAGATAGCATTGTTATGCCACAGTTCGGGACAATCTCTAGCAGACCAAAATATGACTTCTGAACTGCAATAAAGCTGGTCCGTGGATTATATATGTGAACTAAGTCGTGTCCGAATGCTGACTTATCAGTCGAGATGAAGTCCAGTATGATCTCAAGTTAGGTGCAATTACTATAACCTGACGTGTATATTTTGGAAAAACTTCTGAAAAGCGCTATCAGTATTCTTTGATGTGCATTTGAGGTAGTTAGCGGCGAGTTTTCTCTTAGAATGTCCGTAACTCTCTCGAATAAGCTTATGCTTATTTATGCATAAGCTTATTCAAGAGCTAGGAACCTAAGCTATTGGTTTGATTCATCACTTTCCCCTTATTCATGCGGAAAGTGATGAATTAAACCAATAGTTTAGCTTCCTAGCTTCGATTGGTTCATCTGTAATTCTGTATGCTTAGAATCTGAACTGTTACATCATTCTCCTTGAACTTGCCTTCTATATAATTTTATAACTCCCTTCATTCTGTAAAAGCTGCAATCAGTACGTACCACAGTTTCAGTGAGTGTTCTAGCCTTCCAGCTAAAAGGATAAAAAACCCTTTACGATACGTGTAGAAACGTTACACAAGAACTGGACTAGCATTCAATTTCATACGCAAAGATTACCATCTAAATTTATGATCTTCAACAAGTCTGATCAATATGTCACTCAACGATTGTATATGCACCAGAGGCCAACATTTTCCTTCAAATCTGTACCCAGACCATAACCATCAACAGCAACCTATGCCCACCCATAGAATTACCTGTTCCCACCCATGCTTTTCAAATTACGCGAATAGTGTTATGTGTATTACCCGGTTGGATCTGAAAAACACTGCCCATAGCATTACTTGTGCCCACCTATGGGAACTTAATGTCACTCAAAACCCATGGATATGGGCACCCAATGTTGGGCTCTGATGCACGATTCTGATCCACGTTTCGGTAACAGGAACTCCAACTTTACTGAGAGTATTCCCTATCTCCCTGTTGTTGAGTGAACAATGTTTGCTAGTCTATGTTTGATCCAATATATAATCTTCAGTTCCGAAGACACAATTGACAACCTCGTGGTTTAGTCTCAAATCTGATCTGATTCAAAGTGTTATTGCAGCTTGACCACCACTGTCCACTATGATTCTCGAGTAATAATCACCTCGAGACTATTATGAGTTTTGAAAACGTAATTGAGGTTCATGTCATCCACTTTGTATAGTTCACTGTTGAAGCCTTGTGGACTATTGTTCGGTTCAGACGCATTTGAGAATTATATATAACTTTTGATCAAAATCCTGCATATTTATTTTTAAAATAACTGAAATTGAATGTTGAATGCAAAAAGAGAAATTAAAAAGATTAAATATAGCTTGAATTTTTACGATTAATAATAAAGAATAAATTATAAATCAAGATTTCTAAATTTAATATTAGAAATTTTTTAAATATTTTTAAAACTTATGAACAAAATATTAAATCAAATATGAGAACTGAAAAACAAATTAAAAAATTAGTATAACATGCAAAGATTGGAAGAAATGGATTTTATTTTACGGGGAATTTATATATATTATAAGTATAGTTGAATCAATTTGAAACTATAGAGCAATTAATTATAAAATTTGAAAAGTCTGCATTTTTTTTCAATGTCTAATATGTATTTATGCGACAGTTAAAGCAGCTATAAACCAAGACTCACAAGGAGCAAAACAACTCATATGAAACATACTGAACATACTAGCCATTTCTATATCTGTTAGAAAATAGATGATGATGTTAGATTTTAGCCCAAAAAAAAAGTTCAGATCATGGATGTGTTTTATCTAGAAAAATTATAGATATTCAATTATTACAAACTTCCACAGAATATAATTTAGGTTAATGATTTTATTATTGATCAAAATTTCAATTATAATTTAAATTTACATGTTTATAATTTTAAAAAATAACAATTTCTATATATAACAGATTATAATAAATATGTAATATAAAACATAAATCAACCTTGAAACTAGATGTTATCAAAGGAAATTTCAATTTTTTTGAATGATCTTATATTTTAATCAAAGCATGGATTTAGACTTTGAGCATCATTGAACTTTACTTTTTATAATTTATATAAATTTCAATTTTTTTAAAATTCAATTTCAAATTTATTGAAATAATGGAAAGTGGAAAGTGTAAATTTCAGTATGGTCATAAATTTTAATGAAAAAAAAATTACACGTAGATGTATTTCTGTTTTCTTACAATGAGAACTAAAATTGAAAAATTCAAACTATATTATTGAAATTTTTACCCATTAAGTGAATTAAATATTAATTTATATATCATTAAATTATAACCGTAAAATCTGAAAATCATCAACCAATCATGAAAGATAGATGTAACGTGGTTCATCCTTGGGGCAAGAGAGCTATGTCCACCAGAACAGCGATACAACTCTTACTCAACGTATGTCGTGAACGACTTAGTGTACAAGGCAAAGTACATGGTATTTAACTCATAGTCCATGCAACATCACATCTTTAAATAGCTAGGTCTAGAGTTTACTCATTAATCGGAGTTAACATCAACAATTTCCCGGTTAACTTGTGTTAAGGAAAGTCAGTAAACTCTCTAACCTATACTATTACTTGGCGGGAAGATCTAGAAAGTACTCTAACACAGGACCCCTCTTTAAACCAAAGTTAACTAGAACCAAGCAATAGTCATAACAAGATAGAGTAATAATATGCAGAGGTAATTAAAAACCATATCTGACCCTTAACTCGTGTTAAGGAATCTCAGTAACCAGTGCGCTCTCAACCTCTCATCTCAAGTTAAGGAATGTATCTCTTAACTTATATTAAGTAACTAGTGCACTCTTAAACTCTTAGCATATACGTGAGCAGAGATTTTTACTTGTCAATATGGAGACCCTGAACTCTCCTCCTATTTCAACGAGCTACGCACATTGAAAGACACAAACGTCTTCTGGATTCATTAAAGGCACACAACTACTGACAAGAATCTTACAATCTACTCGCTGTCACTCGTAACAATCTCTCACCGTCACA